TTTTATTTTCAATCAATGATTTTTTTTTATTGCATATTAATTAGTTATTTATTAATAACATATTTCTTTATTTCCAGTAATATATTGTAATCCATTTTAATCAAGTATTAATTATCATTTTCTTTTCCAATTGGCCTAATTTTCATGTCATTTTTATTACCAATCAATAATTCCTTTTTAATACATATTAATTAGATAATTATTAATATAATTTTTTTTATTTCCAGTAAATTATTAAATATTATTTCCAATTTACATATACTATTGTTAATCCATTTCATTTTCGACATTGTTAATTTGGAAATCTTTTTTAAAAAATATATCATAATTTGTATATTTCGTGTCATTTTTAATATCAGTCAATTATTTTATACTTTCTCAACTTACTGAAACACAAAGAACCAATAACACCTCCATTAAGGCTCGAACTTACAACCTTCCAAATGGAAGTCCAACCCAGATACCATTAGACCACATAGTCTTGGTACATATCAATTAATTTATACTATAATTATTAATATAATTGTCGATATATATTTAGAATTTATATATTTTATGCCATTTTTAATCAAATATTAATTATCATTTTCTTTTTCAATTGGTCTAATTTGCATGCCATTTTTATTCTCAGTCAATGATTTTTTAATACATATTAATTAGTTAATTATTAATGACATATTTATATATTTTTTTATTTCCAGTAATATATTCTGTGTCATTTTTAATCAAGTATTAATTATCATTTCCTTTTCAAATTGATCTACTTTTCATGCCATTTTTATTCTCAGTCAATGATTCTTTTAAATACATATTAATTAGTTAATTATTAATAACAATTTTTTTTTAATATTTCTATGTTGAAGTGATTTTATGATACTAACAACTATTATTGTAAATAAGTTTCATGTGTAAATACGATATGTAACCTTTATTTATTTTAAAGTTTTGTTGTGTAATAACTATATAGGAAACATTGCGATATTACAACTGAAAAAAAAATACTATTATTTTATTGATTTCCAAAAACATACTATCAATTAAATAAGATTTGATATTTAAAATGGGTAATTAGCCAAAATAATAAACTTTTAATACACTGTTTTAAAATAACAAATTATTACAAACATCTTAGTAAACAACAAAAGAAAATCTATATTCTCATTTATCAGTAATTCTGATTACAGTAAGACTAATTAATCTATATACTAATTGTGCAAGTTAGGTGTTTCCACATCCTTTACTAACATCCATGTTAATTTGTCCAATGTCTGAACTCACGACTCATCTGTATAATCTTCATCACAATTAAATTAAAAAGAATATGATAGTTGTTAATCCATCCAATGTCTGAACTCATAAATACAATCTTCATCACAATAAAATAAAAAAGAATATTATGATAAAGAATTGGATATGATACATCTACAATTCAATTTTCATGCATGAAATATATTCACAAAATAAAAAAAAATAAAGTAATTAATAAATATAATATACAAACAACTTGCTAAAGTGCTTACCTGAAATAGTTGCGAAATATTGTATTTTTTAAAAAATAAAACTACCAATAAAATATACTTTATTAAATTTATATACTACTTTTTCAATATATGCAATTGCATGTATATTAATAAGAACTAAATATGAAACTTTTAATTTTCATTTACATGATTGTATAGTAAATTCTGTATGGTACTACACAACAAAGGAATAATCGTTATTCACAGAGATTGAACAATGTTATTGATACATCAACAAACTAAGCCTAAAATTATTCAGAAAAAAAATACAGTATTAATATATATATATATATATATATATATATATATATATGAATCTTAAAAATATAATGGTAGTGAATATAAACATGGAAAAAAAATTAATACACATATATTTACGATTCGCACTCTTTTGAGTTGTCATCCCCACAATTAAAATTAAGCATGTCTAATTATGCCTAATATATTGAATGTTAATGGTCATAATTAAAATTAAATATTCACCATAATTAAATTTAACCAATATAATAATATATTCTGCACGGTAAATGTTATTAGGCATGTCTAATTATGCCTGATATATTGAAGTCCTATAATACACGAAAATAGGAATAGTGGAATACTATTAGGATGTAAATGGAGATGAATATAAAATTACTATAATTTGATTTGATTTGAGTCTGATTATGCCTAATATATTGAAGTCCTATAATACACGGAAATAGGAATATATCTAATATAAATGGAGATGAATATAAAATTACTATAATTTGATTTGAATATAATGGCATATAATAATATCTATATATAAATAATGGATGATATTACATAAATGTCTCTAAGTTTTGAGGGAAAAATTTATAGATTAGGATTATTGTTATGCGTGTACATACATATATTTGATTTGGACTTGTGTACCAAGGCTCAATATAATAAAATGGGCTATGAAGATATCATGTCAAAATTGTAGCTTAAAGAATATAATATAAATTAGGCAAAATAATTTATTTATTTAAGGTAGAAAATACTAATTTAAAAGGAAAGAATAATAATTTAGTTATTTATTTAAGTTAATAGCATCATCATTATTATTATTATATTATATTATACTACGGATATATATATATATATATACATATATATATATATATATATATATATATATATATTAATTATAAAAAATGCTGTAAAATAAACTATGCTTGTTAAAAAAAACATAGAAACTTGAATGGCATGTACAAATCTCGAAATTAACATACTAACTCTAAGTTTCAGAAAATCTTACAAAATCATCAAAATTACCGTCTTTATCATCCTCGATCGCATCTCTACAATCTTCCATAAAAACTAAGCCAATATGGTTTTGTTACAAATGCTTTTCCTCCTCAATTTCCTTTTGTTGAAGCAGAGCCTCCTTAAATATCTTCAAACTCATACCAGACGATATAAACTGCAAAACATATTGAAGTACGTGAGAATATAGTTAGAAAAATGTAAAAAATTCATACAAAAAGAAAGCAGAGAGATGAGTCTGAGATTCTTTGATTGAAGAAGCCCTTGTATTTATAGGTAGAAAATACTAATTCAAAAGGAAAGTATAATAATTTATTTATATAAGGTAATAAATTATTATTATTATTATTATTATTTATTTATTTAATTTAATTTCCATTTGACATTTACTTACCAAATAAGTTTTACTACAAAAGTTTTGGGGGGAAAATTTGTTAGGAGGATTTTACTTTTATATATATATAGATAGATTTCATCTATACTTTCTCAACATGTTGAAGCACAAAAAGTCAACACCGCTTCTACTAAGGCTTAATCTCATGACCTTCCATATAAAAGAGTCACTACATGCCATCTAAGCACAAAGTACTTGGCTCATTTGAGTTATTTATTGTGCATACCCTTACTTAAGGAATCCGTCATCCCAGGAGGCCAGTACTGATACATCCAGTACTGATACATCAACATCCCATGAATGCTGATGTCCCCCACCGTGGTTAGTATATGTTATACACCATAATGCAACTTGTGATACACATGATACTACAGTATATACCCAAAGAAAAGAAAAAAAAAAAACAAAGGAAAATAAGAAAAATTGTAATTTTAGTTTATGAGTTATAAGATATTTGTAATTTTTGTTCCTAATTAATATGGCATTGTAATGACATACCTAATTAAATTAGTTGTAAGGTGAGTATTTAGTCCTCCTGACATATACAATTATTTTGAACAGAAATCACATGTGTTTCTAGCCTGAGTTATAATCGAGGGTAATTTAATGCTCCGTAACTTTTTAGTACAATATGTATTTCCTTTAACTATTAACGATTATAATTTTCTTATTACAGATACTCTAAACCCCCAACAAATGTCTCTAATGTGTAGTAGAAACATAATTGTTGGAACTAAAAGAAAACTAAGTTGTTTTTTAATCTCTTATATTGTAAGTTTAAGTTTTGTTCATATTGTTTAGGGTAAAAAAATGATACTAATACTTAATTTAATGGTTCAAGGGTCATTCTAAAAGTCTTATTCTAGTGACAGATGATGTATTTAGTCCTCCTGACATATACAATTATTTTGGACGAAAACCACATGTGTTTATGACATGAGTTATAATCAAGGGCAATTTAAAACTTTTGAGTACAATATGTATTTCTTTTAACTATTAACGATTATAATTTTCTCGTTACGGATACTTAAAACTCCACCAAATGTCCCTAATGTGTAGTAGAAAAGTTAATTGTTGGGACTAAAAGAAACACCAAGTTGTATTTTAATCTCTTATATTGTAAGTTTAAGTTTTGTTCATATTGCTTAGGATAAAAATGATACTAATAATTGCCCAGAACTTAACTCAATAGTTTAAAGGTCACTCTAAAAGTCTTACTTTAATAGCACGATTAGGATTCAATACCTACTAAAAACATAGGGAGTCATTGGGAGATACAAAGCCTAATGTATATTAAAAATAAAAAAAAAATACTAATAGTTTGTTATTTTCCTACTTGATGTTTTGGAGTTCATATGTTTTTTGCTATGTTTTTTTTTTTTTTTTTTTTTTTTTGAATTACTAATATAGCCTGGTCCCAGAAAGCGTTTTTAACACAAGCAAGCACACGCTATACAGATATGGTCTCCAGAATCAAGAAGAATCGGACTTCATCTGGGAAGCCAGATTTTGTACATGAAGATACATGGCGCATTTGGGAGGCATACTGGGATAGGCCTGAAGTGAAAGCTAAATCTAAACAACAACACAAAAGTAGGATGTGTGAGGTAGCAGGACCTGGTACGGGATGTTCTCGACATACCGGAAGATCTAGATCATCTATTGAGAACTTTCACACATTGGTAATACATTTAACATAAAAATTTATTATTTGTATATATTTTACGGATTTAAGCATCATTTTATTGTTTGTGCTTGTTTAATAGCCGGATACACTTCAAAAGGAGCCTGTTCTGTTTGAGTGCTTTATGCATACGCACAAAAAGAAGGATGGTACGTTCGTTGATGAGAGGTCAAAGAAAATCGCTGTAAGTATAACCTAACAACCGTATATTGTTAAATTGATAAAATTCAAATATGCCTTTATATATTTGTCTTATTTTGTATATGTTTTTAATTGTAGGACGAAATACAAGCACGGCGTGATGCTGCAATGCAAGAGGTGGAAGGGTCAACTAAGCCACCAGTTATAGACATGTCACAGATGTATGTGGATGTTGTTGGTGGGGGTAAAAAATAGCGTATTTATGGCTTAGGGACTAAGTCATCTGCATTTATCAGCGGGAATAGCTGTAGTTCATCTGCTACTTCACAACTTCAACAATAGGCAATGAAGGATATGGTGAACCAACAGTTAGATACCATGCGAGTTGAGATGGAAGCTAAACTACAAGCTGAAAGAACTAAGATGGAAGCTACAAGCTGAAAGAACTCAAATGCAGGTTCAAATGCAAGCTCAAATTGCAAGTTTGATGGATGAGTTACGTCGCAACGGCATGTTATCCAATCCAAGTACTCAAGCTCAACATTCGGCTAATTCAAATGATGAAACCTTAGAAGATGATTAGATTATGTTTATTAATATATTTGGTACTGGTTCTAATGATGTAACATTATACTACAATACTTTTGTTGTTGTTATTCACTTTGAATGCTTTTTAATATAGTATATTTTATAATTATATTATTCAAGTACTATATTATAGCTTAATGCATGTTTCTGATATTAATTAGCCGGTACAATTGTTTTATTAATTTTCAAAATTCAGGGACGGACAAATATGGTAGTAATGTAACGAAATAGCAACCGAAAAATCCGTAGTTAAATTTAGCGACGGATATTTCTGTCACTAAGTTGTAGTTAAATCATATTCAATTCAAATAATAATAAAAGAATAGCGATGGATAATTTTCGTCGTTAATTTAACGACGGACGATAGCGACGGTCATGTCTGTCGCTATATTTAGCGACGGAAAAATCCGTAGCTAAGCCGTTCTAAATGTCGTCGCCGGAGCATAGTAGTAGCAATTTAACGACGGATTTGTTGTTGCTTTAGCGACGGAAATTCCGTCGCTAATTATGGCGACGGACTATTCCGTCGTTATTCGCTCGCAAATGTCGTCTTCGGATCCGTCGTCGAAAGGAATTTAGCGAGGGATCTATTTCGGCTAGCAACGAAAATTTCCATCGCTAGACTTAGTGACGGAAAAAAAAAATGTGTCGCTAACTTTTAGCGAGGTGGGTTTTTGTGATGGACGGATTCCGTCGCTAAATACTTTAACGACGGATTTTCACTATTTAGCAACGGAATTCGTCCGTCGCTATTCTTGTGTTTTTTTTGTAGTGGGGGGAATCTGGGTGTTGTGGAATAATTCAGTTGGGATCTCAGTTTTATTCACTCACCCCCAGTTTATTCTCCTACAGGTGAACGAAAGTGGAGCGGACCCGTGGACCCTTGCCATCGTGTATGGGAGCCCAACACACCATTTACGCAATCGACTGTGGAACGAACTTCAGGCATAGAAACGGGTCATACCAGGCCCGTGGATGGCGATGGGGGATTTCAATACTATCACTTGTGAGGATGAGACTTGCAATTACACAACTTACTCCCACTAGCGCAGTGCAGACTTTGTCGAATGGATCCACAATGAAGGTCTCGTGGATATGGAGTTCAGCGACCCCCGGCTCACGTGGATGCAAGGAGTGGAGGAACCTAATATTAAAGGGGCGAGGCTGGACAGAGCACTGTGCAATGTGGGGTGGCGGCAACGTTTTCCCGACGCTACGGTCAATCACTTACCCAGAATTTCTTCAGACCATGCACCTGTCTTGGTGCAGACGAGTAGGACTAATGGTAGACATGCGAGCGGCCACTTTAAATTTCAAGCCTCTTGGCTAACCAGCGAGTCATTTGATGAGGTGATCCACAAGGCCTGGGGTTCAGATTAGGCTCTACAAGCAAATATTTCTAAAGTTCAAGAACATCTTATTAATTGTCTACAAGCAAATATTTCTAAAGTTCAAGAACATCTTATTAATTGGAGCAGGGATGTCTTTGGTAGTATTGAGCCCCGGAAAAAGAACTTGCTCGCCCGTATAGGCAGAATCCAACGAAGTGGCAATCTCTTTCCATAGAGAACTGTGGAAATTCGAAAAGAAATTAAGGACTGAACTAGAGCACGTACTTTACCAAGAGGAATTATCATGGTATCAACGCTCTAGGGAGGAATGGATCGTTTCAGGGGATATAAACACTAAATTTTACCACGCCTCGACGTTGGTTCGAAAATCTCGAAATAAAATCGTAAGCCTATAGGACGCATATGGGAATTGGATCACGGACGGGGACGCCTTGCAACGACATGTACAGACTTTCTATATGAAATTATTCCAAGATGAGGGAGGAGCTAACGTTACTAATGCAATAACGGGACTTTTTCCTAGAATAAGTGCGGTGGACTGGCGATGCTTCAATAGGGAAGTAACTAAGGAGGAAGTCTGCAAGGCTGTCCGTGATATGGGCCCGTTGAAAGCACCGAGACCGGATGGGCTACATGCAGCCTTCTATCAACGATCGTGGGATACTGTGGGGGACTGTGTTTATAATCTGGTTAAGACAGCGTTTGAAAGTGGGATCCCTCCCGGAAGGGATCAACGAGACTTTGCTAGTTCTCATCTCGAAGGTTGCAATGCCAGAGAGTATAAAACAATTTCGGCCTATAAGCCCGTGTAACGTTTCGTACAAGATAATTACAAAGACAATAACAAACAGACTCAAAGCGATCCTGCCCAAGATCATTGGCCCGTACCAAAGCTCTTTTGTACCGGGTAGGCAGATTTCTGATAATATTATTATCTACCAGGAAGTTATGCAAACTATGCGTACTTGGAGAGGGAAACAGGGACTAATGGCTATAAAAATTAACTTAGAGAAGGCCTATGACCGCCTTTCTTGGAGTTTTATTAATGATTCTCTTTTGGATGCAGGCTTTAACGAAGGATGGACGCGAATCATTATGGAATGTGTGAGCACTACAAATATGCAAATCGTCTGGAATGAAAAACGCTTGGAACGTTTCAAGCCCGGAAGAGGGATCTGACAAGGAGACGTCATGTCACTGGCACTTTTTGTTCTTTGTCTGGAACGGCTGAGCCAAAGCATATCGATGGAAGTGGAAAAGGGGACGTAGAAAGGCATCTGTCTGGCTACGGGCAGCCCAATGCTATCCCACCTGTGCTTCGCGGACGACATGGTTCTTTCTGGGAAGCCTCGTTGGAGCAGGTTACAGCCATTAAACGATGCTTGGACCGCTTCTGCGACGCTTCGGGATAAAAGATTAGCTTGGGCAAATCCCAGGTCTTTTTCTCCAAGAATACGGGACCTGAGGTACAAGATACAATTGCTGCAGCATTTAGTATTCCGATCACCACTGACCTTGGCAGGTATCTAGGTGTTCTTCGCTGCACGGTCGAACCACACGAGCCACCTTTTCTGGCCTCATCGACCGAGTAGCCGCTAGATTAGAGGGGTGGAAAGGCAGAGTTCTCTCTTTTGCAGGTCGTGTAAACCTGGCTAAGTCCGTCCTCAACATCATTCCATCTTACACAATGTAGACTGCCCTCCTGCCTAAAGGGGTGTGCCAGAAGCTGGAGACTCTAACCAGGCGTTTCATCTGGGGCGGCGATAATGATACACGACGCACGAGCCTTGTGAATTGGGGAACCGTGACGACACACAAGGCAGAAGGCGGCCTGGGGATAAGGAAGCTTGAAGATGTTAACATGGCATTCATGGCCAAGCTTAGCTGGCGGTTACGAGATGAACAGGGCAGCATGTGGGCTCAGGTTTTACACACCAATTATGATCCGGAAAGAAGGCGGAGACGAGCGGATGTGCGTAACTCGGCCTCAAATACTTGGAAAGGGATTTCCGCCGCCTCTCATATCCTTGAACGAGGTCTGACTCGAGCCGTCCAAAATGCCAGAACAACTAGATTTTGGATGGATGTCTGGGCGTACGGGAAGAGGTTGTTTGATTGCATGCGGCGGCCTGTGAGCCTTCCGTAGTTATACGCTCCCGTCGCCGACTATTGGGAAAGTGGCCAAGGTTGGCGATGGGAGTTTCTCAGCGGCATTCTTGACGATGGATGGAGAGCGAAACTTCATGCGATTGTCATTCTGGAGGACGACGACGCAAAGGACGAATGGGGTTGGGGCCTGGAACAAAATGGACGGTTCTCTGTGCATTCGGCGTATGACGCGGTGAGGTTGGGACCTTCTGCTGCTCCGAGTAAGGATTGGGAGAGATTATGGAAGATAAAACTTCCGCATAAAATGAACCACTTTCTTTGGTTGGTGAAGCAATGGAAAATCATGACCAATGTCGAGCATTTTCAAGAGACATTTTACGACTGACAAAATGTGTTCTTCTTGTGCAGGTGTACCAGAGACTCTGGATCACATTTTTAGATGGTGCCCGGAGGTTGCTGATTTTTGGGATTTGATCATGTCCCGAAAAGCGACGTAGCTGCTCCAGGCTTTGGGATGGGAAGATTGGCTTTCTGTGAATCTGGGGGCGGTTAAGCAATACAGCCTAGAGAAGGACTGGCCGATCACTTTCGGTGTGAGCATGTGGTGGTGTTGGCGGTAGCGCAATGACAGAGTGTTCACCGGCACAAGAATGAGCCTTGAACAGCGATGGGCCTGGATTGTAACACAGCGGACACAAATCACATCGGCGTTCTAGAATCGATGGACGCCTAACGCCATTGGTAGACCTCCTAGAGAGGAACTCGTCGCGTGGTCGAAGCCAGAGCATGGATGGCTAAAGCTGAATGTTGATAGCTGCTGCAAGTGACCGGGATTGCGGGCTGGATGCGGGAGCGTGTTACGGGATCACCAGGGCAAGTGGCAGACCGGTTTCACTTACAACATTGGTTGTTGTTCTGCTGAACAAGCGGAACGGTAGGCGGTGCTCCTATGTGTGTGTATGGCGATTGAGTGGGGAGTGCGGAGGATTATAATTGAGAGCGACTCTTCGAGTACGATTAATATTCTAGCCGGAGATAACCAAGAAGATTACACACGATGCAACATCTTACAGTTGTGTTTACATGAATGCCGCATCTTTCATGTAGTGGCCTACTTCACGATTTAGGGGTTCGAGCTCTTGAATACGCGCCTCTGGTGGTCGAAGATGTGC